CGGCCTCTGGCGGTCGTGGCCAGGCTCCCGAGAGCTGCCAACCTGGTCCCGGGAAGAGGCGGAGGGCTGGGGGGCATCGGGTGGCTGGCTCATGGAGTGCCAGGTTCAGGGTCTGCTGGCTGGGTGCTGGCAGCCTTGCAACTGGCACAAACTGTGTAGCCAGCCCGTGGCTCTTTAAGGGCTCCGGGACTGGGAGGGGGGCAATAGAGTTTCCCTGGTGTTGGCCAGAGTGGCCACCAGGGAAACCTGGGAAGCCTTAGCCTCCCACTAGTTCGAATTAAGGGTCTACACAGCCCTTAATTCGAACTAGCTAGTTCGAACTAGGCTTAATCCTCGTAAAATGAGGTTTACCTAGTTCGAACTAAGCGCTCCGTTAGTTCGAATTAAGTTCGAACTAACAGAGCGCTAGTGTAGCGCCTATCAAAGTTAGTTCGAACTAACGTTCGTTAGTTCGAACTAACTTTGTAGTGTAGACATACCCAGAGAGATCAGAATTCTGTTCTCCATTCTGCTACCATGGGTCTACATGACATTATGCCACATCAGAAAAATCACTTAATCCCCTGCTCGCCCAGTTTGCGCTGTATCCCTATAAGCGTACTGATAACAAAACTTTTTCCTTTACATATGAAGTCTGAAAAGGTTACATCTAAAGCCAGAATCTTCAGTCCGGTGCAGTTTCTTTGCACTACACCACTGGCATAATCTGGCTAAATGGATGGTTTCACTGGCTAGGGAGGCTTACCCCACTGTCAGGTTGATCTTCCAATGAAATCATAAGCTTAGAGGCTCTTATGTCATTCCCCATCCCTAGCATGGAAGAAAGACCAGAGGAAAGGATTGTGGCCAACTTAATGCCACCCTAGCCTTTAGCTGCTTTTAGGCTGCAGCAGCCTAGACTACACTCAAGAGATTATCATGGCTACTGTCATATGCCACAGAGGGTCCAGTGCTACACAGAGAAACACTGAAACTCCAGGACTGCAATGACGAGTTGCAAGCCATCTTTAGAACAATCTTTCTCATTTGTGTTCTGTGCGCTTTGGCCAAGATTTTAGGCCATAGCTTTCTTCTTTAGTGAAATGCCGTTTGGAACTGAAACACAATGTCAAAGATTGCAATGACGTAATAGATTCATTAGAGGGCACCACAGAAACATGTCACCAGGGAGGAAACATACCATATAAACTTGAGGAACACGTTTTATGAATATCAGACTGTGCAATTCAGACATGCCAGATTTACTGATGATGACGTGATTTCCTGGATCTATGAATAATGGTCAATACCTGTTAGAATCTAGCATTCATTAATAAATATCATTATTACTATTGATAATTATTATTTATGGCTGTGCACAAAGTCCTCAATTGCACTAATTGCTGAACAATTACATAGGAAGTCACAGTGCTGACCCAAAACTCTTATGCTAAGTCTACACTGCAGCCTTCTTCCGCAAAAACTTATGCAAATGAAGCATATGGCTACGCTTCATTTGCATAATTATCAGCCATTTTTGCGCAAGAGGCTTTTGCGCAAGAGCCATTCTTCCTCATTTTTTCAGGTCTGTGGGGATAAGGGTGGCAGTAATAAGATTTCAGTTACATAGGCTGGATGAATAGAGCCACATAAATAAATGCATGCCATAAAAATAAATGTGAGCACATTCTGAAAGCTTGATACAGGGGATAAAAATCTTTCAATTCATTTACACTCCTAAAGTATTTGGGCCCAAGTCAATGCCCATGGATGTCAAAGAGAATAGTTTCATTGATTGGGCCCTTGAATTTTTTAGGGCCACTCTTTAGCAAAGCTTCATTGATTTTATTGGTGAATACAAACTAAGGCTCTGACTGTTAAAGCTGTAGGTATGCAAATGTGCATGCAAAATATGGGACATATGCTTCAGTAATTTGTGAATGCAATTCCAAAACTTGAGTCATTATGATTCATTAGATGGTTCTGCCCGATCATAGATGCCAGATCTGTGGGTTCTTCAGGGCTGGCATATGCAAAGGGAAAAATTAGCAGGTGCTCAGCTCCCATTGGAAGCCAAGCTCTCCCTTCAGTTTCCTCCCCCCTCCCCCATCACTTCTTACCTGAGACAAACAATTGAAGACACTCTGGGTATGTCTACACTAGCCCCCTAGTTCGAACTAGGGTGGCTAATGTAGGCATTCGAACTTGCAAATGAAGCCCAGGATTTAAATATCCCAGGCTTCATTTGCGTGTTCCCGGGCAGGTGCCATTTTTAAATCCCCTTAGTTCGAACTGACTGCCCACGGCTACATGCAGCAGTCAGAAATTAATCCAAACTAAGTCCTTAGTTTGGATTAACTGTTACTCTTCCTGCAATGAGGAGTAACGGTAGTTCAAATTAGGAGCTTTAATTCGAACTACCTAGCCCGTGCCGCGTGTAGCCGCGGGCAGGGGGTTCGAACTACTGGGCATTTAAAAATTGTGGCACTTGGGAACATGCAAATAAAGCCTGGGATATTTTAATCTCAGGCTTCATTTGCAAGTTCGAATGACTACGTTAGCCACCCTAGTTCGAACTAGAGTGGCAGTGTAGACATACCCTCAATGACCTGGTTGGAAGGCTGAGTCATGAAGAGGACACTGTGGGGCTACAGACCAGAGAGAGAGACAGAATGGAGGCATACACCATGGGGATGGACAACAATCTGATGAGCTAACCCTCAGATCAGCCAGGAGGAGACACTGGACTAGCGGTGAGTTTTGTACCCCCACTCATACTGACAGCAGAAAAACAGAACCTTGCTTCCCTCATGTGCAACCTCATTCTTCTGCCCTTGCTCCTGGGTTTCTGAAATGCCTATCTGTAGTAAGATGAGGACCTGAGACCTAAACCCATGTATCACAGGCCTGGTATGAGGCTAAGGTCTAGGCTAGTGATTCCCAACTGCCAAGCCGCAGCGGCTCTGGGGTCTGGAGCTGGGATACACAGCTCTCGTTGTGGATGTTGAGAGAGGTTTGTTTTGCTCTGCTTCTCAGCCAACCAGCACTTGACAGGAGCAGGGTCTCCTCCCAAACACAGAAGAGCACGCTGGGGGGAGACCCCGCCCCTGCCCGGTGCTGGTTGGCTGAGAGGTGGGGCAAGACATGCCTCTCCCAACAGCTGCAGTGGGAGGGGAGGCTCTGGGTGGTGTACCACAGACCCAGACCCCAGAGCCACCACGACGTGGGCAGCAGTGCAGGGCTAGATGAGGGGGGCAGGGCAGGCACTGGGGGCTCCGGAGATGGGACTAGTATTGGGGGCTCTGGAGGTTGAGTGAATATTGGCAGGGGACTATGGGAGCAGGGCTGGCACTAGGGGGCTCTGGGGATGGGGTTAATATTGGGAGCTGGGGTTTGGGTACAGTGGGAATCTGGAAACAGGAGGCTGGTACTGGGGGGGTCTGGGAGTGGGGGGCTCTAAGGGGAAGGGGGCTGGTACTAGTGGATTGGGTGCAGGGGACTCTGGGTCAGTGGCTGGCACCGGGGGGTAGTGGAGGGGTGGGGCACTATAGGGGTTAGGGTTGGCACTAGGGATTCTAGGGGCTGGACTATAGGCAGACAGGTAATTTTTTATTAGCACATTTGCATATTCATCATTTGCATAATAATATGCTAATGAAATTTTGGCAGTCCGCCAAAAAAAAGATTGGAAACCACTGGTCTAGGCCATAAAGGTCTCAGCCACAAAGGTTTGCTAATATTACGAAAAGTTAAGCTGTGAGCAAGAGGCAAGCCCTGCTCGCAGAAGATGGCAAAAACAGGGTCAGAACCCAGGTTCAGGACAGGCTCTAAACTGGTAGTATGATAGATAATGATCAAACCCTCATGTTCAAGATAATGGGTGGTATCTAAGCAACATCAGAGGATGGTAACCCAATATATCAGGAGTGATATTTAACTTGTTTTTACCTTTGCATATAAATGTATTACAATAGAATTGTCTTTGTCCGACCTAAGAGGCAGTGGCAAATCCCATGCTACTGATTGAGTCTAGTCCATTGTAACGAGCTTACAAGTGTTAGCCAACTGTAGACATCTGAGCCAGAGAAGCTAGGCTCATGCTTCATTTACAGTAAACCTGACCAGGTGCCATCAATCCTTATCTGCCTTTGTGGTCTTTGCAGGCTCTCTCAGAGGCTGCTCTGTTGCTCACTTGCACAAAGCCAGCACAACACACAGGAGAAGCACACATCATTGGACAGAGCAAGGGACTTGTCAGGACACTGCGACAGTGGCTTCTGACAACCACATTGAGCTGCTTGCTGCACTGAGGTGTTTGGAATGAGGGCTGGCACTGGGGGGGTTGGGTGCAGGGGACTCTGGGTCAGTGGCTGGCGCTGGGGGGTAGTAGAGAGCTTGTTCTCTGGCTAAATCAAAGATTTTGTTCTCCACTGCTATCAGTGTACAACTTGCTGCTGCTACTGCAAAAACAATTTGAAAGCATTTTAGTTTTCCTTTCACAAGTCATTAAACTTCCCTTTGAGTTTAATGTGGTTTGTCAGTTGCCTCAGTGGGCTGAACTGATCTAATGGAAGCAATAGGAGGCACGAGAGTGTCTAAAAATGGAAGTTTCATTATGAAATGTACCAGACAGATTGTCTGAAAGAACAGGAAGAAAATTGGCCATTGTGCACTGTGAATATTTACTTCAGAGGAGCGGATGAAAGAATGATTGAACATGTGCCCTGAACAATAAGCAGCATCAAGTGGAACAAAATTTGAGGCTATTAAATGTTCTCCATGGCATTCAGATAAACGAATCTATACTGAACCAAAGCTTTTATTGCGGATTAAACTATTTGTACAGGGAACTACGAAGAGGCAGGTAACTTTTAAATCTTTCATCATCATTCTAATGCAGTTCACATTAGTGGATGTAGATTTGAGCCACAATGAGTTTCTCATTAAGCAAGCTACTCATTTTTATTTTTATGGTTAAATCATCAGTTAACCTTAAATTCTAAAATTCTTCTTTCATATACCTTTGATGACATTTTTTCAAATACTACTCTTTCTGGTGGTCTTGTCTCATTCTACTTTTACTCAAATTTTTGCTACATTGTGTGTGCTTGTTTTCCCCCTGCATTGAATCACTGCTCTAGGGTTTTAATCATAATTATATTATACTTTGCACTTTTACAGCTTCTTCTGAATTGGGATTTTAAAGCATTTTAAAATAATTAGTTAATATAGTCTTGGAACACCTGGTGATGTAAGGGTGACTACCCCTATTTTGTAGTTGGAGAAATGGAGGTAGAGATTGTTAGTTCACTGCAGATCAGGACCCTCTTTTTGTTCTGTATCTAGTGCTGAACACGACGGAGCTGGGGATTCTCAGTACTACCCCTAATGAAAATAATGCACGATAATAATACAGACTTTCCTGTTACAAACTAACTTGGCTACCCCTCTGAAATAATATTACAAGCTGAGATTTTGAACAGAGGAATAGGGAGTTAAACACACAACTGATTTCAATGGAAGACATCTGATTTCCTTTGACTCTTTTGAAAATCCCACTCTAAAATATTAAAATGCTAATTTTAGGAATATCATCAATGGTTAAGATTTAGGATTGTAAATGTTAACAAATGTATGTACTATCACCTTTATGCAATGCTTGGCCCACTGTGGTTCTAAAGACAACAGGAGTCTCTGGACCGACTTCAGTGGGTGTTGGGCCACAAAGAATTGTTTTGCTCTAACTTATATGGTCAGGTGGCTTAATTATTCATGCTTAACAGCTGTTAACTTTAATGTACTATGTATAGACCAATATGTGGAAGGCAGATATTTTTCTTTCTTTAAATTACTGTAAATACTTTCTAATGGACCACAAACTGAGCCTGATTTCTGATCTTCAGGGGGTAGCCGAGTTAGTCTGTTACAGAAAAAAACAGCAAGCAAATGGTCTGGTAGCACTTTATAGACTAACAAAACATGTAGATGGTATCATGAGCTTTCGTGGGCACAGCCCATTTCTTCAGATAATCGGAGTTATGATTAGGGGATAAAGAAACTCAAAATAAATAGGAGAAGGGAAGGGGAGAGGGAAGAAAGATGTTCTGTCATCCACCCCTCTACCTCTATGCATAAAGTATCAGAAGAAAGGGTGCTAAACCTGAGTAAATAAAGATCAAAGTCAGTGGATGGATAAGACAGGAAGGATACCATTCAGAAAGTAGTTAGTACCTTCATTGATAAAGGTTCCACCATTCCAAATCTTGATTAAGTCCGTAATTAATTTATTAGAATTTGCATGTGAATTGTAATTCCAAGCTTTCCCTGTGGATTTGATTTGAACTGGCCTGTGACAAGACCGCCACCTTCAGATCTGTGAGATTATGGTTAGGTAAACAGAAATGTTCTGCCACTGGCTTCTGTGTATTTTCTTTACATATACCCGATTTGTGTCCATTGATTCCTTCACGTAGAGAACGTCCAGTTTGACCAATATATATAGTAGAGGGGCACTGTTGGCATTTGATGGCGTAGAACAAATTACTAGATGAGCAGTCAAATGACCCTTTGATTTTGTGGCTAGTGTTGTTTGTTCCAGTGATGAATTCGTCAATGTAGATATGTGGGCAGTGTTGGCATCTTTTTCTGGTTGCAGGGCCAGATTCCGGAGGCTTATGATGTGGTTGTGTGGCATGGTTATCAGAAAGAATACGTTTCAGGTTAGGGGTTTGTCTGTAAGCAAGAATAGGTTTTTCTCTCAAGCCCTCTGAGAGTGAGGGATCATTTTCCAGGATGGGTTGTAGATTGTGTATGATGCATTGGAGGGGTCTGAGTTGTGGATTGTAAGTAACAAGAGGAGTTCTGTTATTTTCTCTTTTGGGAAGTCTTGAAGTAGTTCATGTCTGGGTACTTTTTTGGCTCTGTCAATTTGGTTTTTTTACTTCCCCAGGTGGGTAGCTCAGATTTATGAAGGCTCTGTAAAGATCCTGTAGGTGATTGTCTCTGTCTGTGGGGTCGGAGCAAATCCAGTTGTATCATAGGGCTTGGCTGTATACAATAGATTGGGAAATGTGTCTGGGATGGGAGCTGGAAGGATGTGGGTAAGTGTAGCGGTCTGTGGGTTTACGATATAGGGTGGTTGAAAGTTGTCCATTATTTAACTGTACTGTAGTGTCCAGGAAGTTGATTTCCCTTGTGGATTGGTCCAGGCTGAGGTTGATAGTAAGGTGGAAGTTGTTGAAACCCCGGTGGAATTCTTCAAGAGTCTCTTTACCATGTGTCCATATGATGAAGATGTCATCGATGTAGCATAAGTAAAGAAGGGTGTTAGGGGGCAAGAGCTGAGGAAACATTGTTCAAGGTCAGCCATAAAAATGTTGGCACATTGTGGTGCCATGCGTGTGCCCATGGCTGTGCCACTGATTTGGAGATAGAAATTGTTTCTGAATTGGAAGTAGTTGTGGGTGAGGACAAAATTGCAGAGCTCTGTAATCAGGTGTGCAGTGTGGTTATCGGGGATTGTGTTCCTGATGGCCTGTAATCCATCTTTGTGTGGAATGTTGGTGTAGAGGGCTTCTATATTCATAGTAGCCAGAATGGTATTTTCAGGGAGATTATTGATGTTTTCGAGTTTCCTCAGGAAGTCAGTGGCATTGCAGAAGTAGCTAGGAGTGTTGGTGGCATAGGGTCTGAGGAAGGAGTCAATATAGACAGATAATCCTGAGGTGAGTGTGCCAATGATGGAGACAATAGGTCGTTTGGGATTACCAGGTTTGTGTATTTTGGGTAGTAGATAGATGGTTCCTGGTCGTGGATTAGGAGAGGTGGTGTTGTAGATTTGGTCCTGAGTAGCATCAGGGAGTTTCATGAGCAGTTTTTTCATGGGGTTTTTTTTGTATTCCTTAGTAGGGTCACAGGGGAGAGGCCTGTAGAATCTGGTATTGGTGAGTTGTCTGTTCACCTCCTGTTCATAATCTGTCCTGTTCATGATGACTACAGCACCTCCTTTGTCTGCTTCTTGGATTATGATATTAAGATTGGTTTTAAGGCTGTGAATAGCATTGTGTTCTGTGTGACTGAGGTTGTATGTTATATGTTGTTGTTTGCTAATAATGTCAGCTCGAGCGCGTTTGCGGAAGCAGTAGATGTAGAAGTCCAGATTTTCGTTATGTCCATTGGTGGGGGTCCACATAGAAACTGACAGCTTTTAAAGCTAATATTTTTAAAGACCACAATTTGTGCTGGTATCACAAATACTGAAGCAATGCAGTTGGCTTGACTGCAATCTCAATTACTAATTCTCTCTGGATCATCTCTATGATCTGCCCTCTGTGCTACCCCTTTGTTGGTCTGAAACACCCACACAGATTATGCAATGTGCTGGTTGAGCCAGAGAACATCACTTCCCTCTCCTAGGACCAGAACACATTTCCCCTTTCCAATTTTGTGCATGCTAAAGTTGTCCAATTAAAAGCTGTATGATGCAGGAAATATTAAAGCTCAGACCTTCAAAGATATTAAGGCACTGCTCCTCTCATCATTGCAACACATAACCCTTAGGCAACTACTGCCTCATGGAATCCTCAGCCCCAAGCTAGATGCCCAGGCTGTCTAGACAATGTCTGGGTGGCACAGGTAGACACCTAAAAAGGGATCCTTAGAAGTCAATTAGGAAGCTGAGCAGCAAGCTGCCTAAAAGCCAGCCAGGAGTGAAATGCTGAGGAAAGGAGCAGGAAGAGAAGCAAGTACCTGAAAAGCCAGAGGTAGGCACCTCTCCCCACTTAGGAGTTAGGCACCTAAGCAAGGTCAGCCTTTTCAGTAAGCAATGCCCTAGCAGCTGAAATTGTCTCCCTAATTCTCTGCCTCCTGATAATGCTTATTACCTCTCTCATACTCAACTTGCCTTTCCCTGTGGCCCCAGCTATTTTGTGTGACTGCTGTGCTGTCCCCCGTTCTCTCCCTCCCACCTACTGGTAGCCTGCAGGGTCTTCTTCCTGCAGGGTCTGACAGGTCTCAGGTCTCAGGCATGCTGAGAGAACATCTAAAGGAGTGGTCCTTGTTGACAGCACATTCCGTGCCTAGTTTGAAAATCCTTTGCCTACGCCTTCAGTTTGTTATCTATGCAGTGGTGTCAGGGCTCAGACAAGTTTATTGCAGAAATTTAGGTGCCTAAATAATGTACATATCTACAGGATTAGATAGTAGTTGAACAGTAGTTTGAAAATATTGGTGGCACATAAATGCTAGGCTAAGCACCTAAATACCAGTGAGGATCTGGGCCTGCAGTATGGAAAGAGAAAAGTGGGTGGGTCATTCACAAACCTGCTCTGTAGGGATAGGATATGGGCTGAATGAATGTCACGAAGAGATGGGGTCTGAAGAAGTATATTGATGAAGATAGGAAAAAAGGGAGGCTGTGTGGACCTATTGAAAGCTCTCAAAGAGAGTTGCGTGAGAAGGGTGTATATCTACGCCACGTGGAGTTGAGTATCAAACTTTGGAAGTTCAGATACTCCTTGGATAAATGTCTTATATTTTTGGTCCTTGAGAAATGAAAAATCCTTTAGAATATGCTTTTGCATGAAACAGTAGAAGATGGAATCTCTGCACTGTAGCGCCTGGGGATGGGAACATCAGAGGATATGGATATTAGAAGAATAAATAAGTTGTAAATTAATCACCAGTGTGTTTGGTTTTTCCATAGCTCTTAATTCTTCCATTGCAGTAACTACTCATCAGGATGAACTGCAGCAGCAACATCACAGAGCAAAAACATCTTAACCTTTTCCAAATGATTGTTTACATCCCAGTTATCTTTTTTGGAGTCCTATTTAATGTCATTGCCTTCTGGGTCTTCTGCTGCAAACTGAAAAAATGGACGGAAACCAGAGTGTACATGATCAACTTGGTCATTGCAGACTGTTCTCTGCTCTTCACCTTGCCTTTCATTATGTATTTTCACAGGACTAGACAGGACATCAATAAACTGTGCTATGTCATACAGACTATATATTTTACAAACATGCCTGTAAGCATCTATATCATTACCCTCATAGCAGTTGATCGATTCATTGCAATAAAGTACCCCCTGAAAGCAAAGAGTTTCAGATCCCCATTAAAGGCAGCTCTTAGCTGTGGATTTCTTTGGATAACAATAATCACTTATGCATATCTCAACCCACGATTTAACGAAAAAACAGGAAACATTTGCTTTCAGAAAAATTCTGATGATCCTCTAGTAGCTACATTGTTGTCAAGTATTTGGTGTTTTTTTATACCACTAGTAATACTAAGCTTTTGTTCTATTCAAGTCATCTGGTGTCTGAAGATGAAGATGAAAATGAGCTCACATGAGGAAACATCAGTCCAGAAAGCTCTCTGGATTGTCTCTATGAATCTGTGTGTATTTATCATCTGCTTTTTACCTTTTAATGTCGGACTCCTTGTTAGATATATAGTTGATGCAGCTGGGGCTGCCTGCTCTGTACGCAAAAATGCAACCATTTTTATTCGTGTGACTGCATGTATAGCAAATTCTAACTGCTGTTTGGATACACTTTGTTATTACTTTGTAGCCAAGGAATTTCAGGAAGCTTCTTCTCTGTTGCCTCCTTTTAAATCTCTGCAGTCTAGATCAAATCAAAGCCAAGAGTCACAACTACAAATGCGTAAGTGAATACAAAATAACGCATGATACAAAGGTGGATCCACAGCTGGCATAAATTGATATATTTCCATTGGTGTGCCACAAAGTCTGTAATTATCCTGAGTAATAGTCACAAAAACTTCCTCAATGTGAACCTGATTCTGATCTCTCTTATAATCACCTTATGCCACTCAGATTCAAGTGATTTCAGCAAGGTTACTTCTTATTTACACCAATGTAACTGAAATTCCAATCAGTGGCTCTCTTTGAAGCTCTGCATGTGTGTATTTTTACTGTCATGTTTTCCCGTACATATAAAATATTAACTAGCCAACTATACAGGAAATTTTCTTGCATTTGTACAAGGTTTGGTTAGCCTCTTGTACTTCTGTGTACATGTTTGTAATTAGACTGATGCACTATCAGAATGTGAATACTGAGATGTGTATCTTTCACATTATATTGGGTTTGCTTAATTTATAATATGCCGTTTTTCTGCTGCTGTCATCCAAATAGCATTTGAAGACTAAAGCTGCCATAAGACTTTGGCTTATCTGAGTTAGCTGACTTTATCACCAACACTAGTCAAATACAGGTGATATGAGTAATATTCAGTTTCTATGGAAGAAGTTTAAATGAGGGAGATGTGAAAAGTGTTGTGTTGTGTGATATGGAAAATGATATTAATATAGTAGTAATATAGATAAAATGTGGAAAAAATGTGATCTCAATGAATGAATTTCATTCCTGGTTTGGAGAGTTTTAACCTGTAGTGATAAAGCACAAGGAATTTTGCATCTTTCTCTCCCCTCATGGGCTCCTTTTCCCACCTTCCAATCTTCCCTTCTGACACTCATTTTTCAGCACCAGCGGTGGGACAGCCAGCAGTGGCTCCAAAACTTCCGCATGTGGAAGGCCACATTTTTGGAGCTGTGTCCCTGGCTTACCTCTGCCCTCCGGAGACACTACACCCACCTGTGACCTGCCATCCCCCCGTAGAAACAGGACACGATTTCCCCCTGGAAGTTCGCAACCCCAGACAGCTACCAGTTGGTGGGCAACCAGTTCAGCGTGGGGAAGTCTACCGTCGGGGCCCTCCTCATGGAGATAAGGCACTCTGAGGCTGAAGGCCCTGCGGGGGAAGGGGGTAATCCTGGAAAAGGGGGAATCCTTGGAAAAGTGGGGTGCAGGGAGGGTGTGGGGGGGAGGAAGGGGGAGGGAGAAGGGGGGCTGGGAGTGGCTGGGAGCAGTTGGTGGGCAACCAGTTCAGCGTGGGGAAGTCTACCGTCGGGGCCCTCCTCATGGAGATAAGGCACTCTGAGGCTGAAGGCCCTGCGGGGGAAGGGGGTAATCCTGGAAAAGGGGGAATCCTTGGAAAAGTGGGGTGCAGGGAGGGTGTGGGGGGGAGGAAGGGGGAGGGAGAAGGGGGGCTGGGAGTGGCTTGGAGGCCAACTGGATGTGCCACCTCAGGTGCGGGGACCTCGTTGGACTTGGGGTTGGGTGGGTCCTGGGACCACAAGGGGGTGCACGTGAGGTGGGGTTGGAGTGGGGTCAAGGGTGGCATGGGGGCCAGGGGCAGGGGGCAGGGGCACATGATGGCATACATGCTATCGCACCGCTGCATGAGCTGACCCCATGTGTGGTTCCACCACTCTGAGTCTTCCCGGATCTTCTCTGCCAGGATCTGCTGCATGTCGTGCAGGACACTAACACGCTGCCGTATCAGGTCTTCATGGACCCTGGCACGCTTTTGGGTCCCCCCCATTCTGGCGGCTGGCTCGGTTGGTATGGCTCGCCCTTCAGTCCCAACTGGTCTGGCTATGGAGAACACGAAGAGGGAGAGGCAGTCAGTCATCCATGCAGACAAGCAGCGACCAACTGTCCTCGGGGCAGAGGAGGGGGAAGTCCTGGGAGCAAGGCCTGTGTGGGCTGCACAGCAGGCCCTGCTGCACAGGGGCCCCTATGTGCCCAGGGGACCATGCTGCCTCTTTCCCCTTCTTCCTCCCTCCCCCCACAGGGGCCAGACTTGTGTGTGTGTGTAGCCTCCTCTGAGCCTAAGAGCAGGATCCAAGCCAAGCTCAGGTGCTGCCTGCTGAGTCCTCATGGCACACACTAACGCTGCACATGGTTCCACGTGCACAGATGACAGCATGATGTCCAGGCCAAGTGATGCTCCCAACCCACCCCCTGTGTGCCCACCTCCCCCACTCTGTGTGTGTGACAAACTGAGAAGCACTCACCTGAAGATCCCTCCCCAGCATCAGAGGAGGCCTGGAAGATGTCCACACTCACAGAAACTGGCTCTAACAACAGCGTGATGGTGGCCGCATCATCCACCTCCTCTTCCTCCTGCTGCTGTCCCTGGTCCTCCTCCTCCTCCACCATGATCTCCAGCCAGGTGATGATAGGCATGTTAAGGCCAGAGTCCATGATGACAGGTGAGGAAGATGTTTTCCCACCCCCCAAGAGTTGGTGTAACTCCTGGTAATAGGGGCAGGTGTGAGGTCCTGCGCCAGAATATGAGCTGTGCTCTCTGGCCCTCACGTATCCCTGGTAGAGATCTTTCACCTTACTCCAGACTTGTCCAAGGTCTGGGGAGGGTGTCCATGCTCCATCAGGACTTGGCCATGCACTCAAAGATATTGGCGTTATGCTGCTTGGAGCAGAGATCCTGCAATGTCTCCTCACTCCACAGCTCAAGGAGGGACAGGATCTCCACTCCGGACCAGGAGGGTGCCCTTCTCTTGGACCCCCAGGTAGATCCTGAGACCACTGGGACTGCTCCCTGTGAGGGCCAGAAGAGTCTCCAGGGGACTGAGGCTGTACCTCAGTTGGCAAGGCCTGTGGCAGGGAGAGCTGCACAGTCAGGGTGCTGCTCTCAGGGTGGCTTCCTACCACAAGGCTTGTCCAGGGTGCCTGCAGCTTTAAGAGGGGCCATGAAACAGGAACTATAAAGTTGTCATTACTATGGATGGAGTGTCCACCAGGGCACCTGAGTTATTTCCTGGAGGCCTCTTTTGAAAGAAAACCCTCTTCCCCATCCACACTCACCTTTTTCTGAAAGAGCTCTTTTGGAAAAAAGGCTTCTTCCTCATAGAAAGAGGATTACCAGTCTGGAAAAACCCCTCTGTTCTTTTGATTTACTTTCAAAAGAACGAGATTGCAGTGTGGACGTAAGTGAAGTTATAGTTACCAACATTCATTTATCCATTCATTCAGGTTCTGTGTATTTGTTATAGTTACCAGCCTGGAAGTTGCTTGTGACAGAATACTGGCCAGGTATTCTGTACACAAGTGATGGTAGTGGGGAGCAAAGTCCTGATCAGATGCGCATGTGAAGCTCCTGGTAGCAGAACCTTGGACTCTGATTCCATAGTTTTTTAGTCCAGTTCTTATAGGAATTTTTTCCTATGCCAGTCTATGGAAATTGCTGCATCATGGTGATGTCTCCAGGGTGGCTGCCAGGTGCTCATCAGTGATCTCATAGGGTGGACCTCCAGTACTTGGTTTTCTCCACTTGACACCTTTTGGTTGCACTGGCACCTGACGCCTTCTTCAGCCCTTTGTTGCTGTATTCTCAGGCTGGCACCTCTCAGAACCATTCATTCATCATCCAAGCACTCTCTCATACATTCATACAGTATTTTGTATAATAATAAAAGTTGTAGTTACAAAAGTTTCTGGGTGGTATTGCTTAAAACATTCTCTGAGTGCTGAGTAAAGTTACAATGTTTTAAAGAGAACAGGCGTTAATTATGTAACAATGCCTTTAGTCAATTACAGGGCTTGGCTCCCATAGCAGAGTTAGTGGCTTGACAATGCATTGTTACAATGTATCTTTGCAATGTCAATTTCAAGCAGCCCCTTGAACAAGCTTGAGCATGCCCTGGGGCACAGAGGGGGGGCTGTTTCTGGCTACATAGGATTATATTTTTAACAGTTCTAAGTTACATGACCTAATACATTATATTCTAAAGGGGCAATAATAATAATAAATCTAAACATTTAACAATCTTAACAAATAATAATAATAATAAGAAGAATTAATAATAAATTTAAACACTTTAAGTTGCGGGGAACAAATTATGGGGAGTCACTTCCATTTGGGGAAATCATTTTCAATACATTAATATGTTATCCCTACACTAGTGGGGGCAGGTGAGAGGATGCTTAAGCAGGGGACAGGGTGTCAGTGGGTGCTGGGACAGGGAAGAGGGTGCAGCAGCAAGAGACAGGGTGTTGGTGGGGGCAGGGAACAGGGAGTCCCCAGCACACATCTTCTCCCAGGACCTCTACCCCCTCCCCACCCTGCAGTGGAAGGAAGTCCCCAGCGTGCACCTCCTCCCGGGACTCTTATTCTCCCCCCTCCACTCCACACAAGAGAAGGAAGCCCCTGGCACGCACCTCATCCCAGGACTCTTACCCCCTTCCCCTCACACAGGGGAAGGAAGTCCCAGAATATGCATCCTCTGGGGATTCCTATCCCTCCTCCCCCGGCAGGGGAAGGAAGTCCCAGTGCACACCTCCTTTGGGGACTCCTACCCCCACACTCCCTGCAGGAAGTCCCCAGCATGCCACAGACCTGGGTTCTAGTACCATGCTGGCTGTTTGGGGGAAGGGGAGAAACCAGCACTTTTCCTGAAACCCTGGAATTGGCGCACAGCTGCGGGACTTCCATCCACTCCACAGGAAGCCAGCGCTACCTCCATTGTTACCAGAGGGCGCATTAATGAGGCTTCTTGAGGGTGGGGGGGAAATGTGGGGCCTCAAACACCTCACAATTGACTGGTCAAGCCCTCCCAATTGAACAGTCAATCACAATTAACAGGTTGGTGACCACAGTGCTAGTTTATTTATGCCTGCCTTTGCAATTTCCACTTCAATGCATCTGACAAAGTAAAATTTTTACCCGAGAAAGCTTATGCCAAAATAAATGTGTTAGTTTTCAAGGTTCTACTCCTCCTTTTTTTTTCAGATGACCTCTCAGATTACATTTCAATCTTATCAGGTCAAGGTGTTCCTATTTATCTCAGCTAGGCCAAAAATATATGCTCTGTGGTCAGTCACACCCTCATTTACATTTTAATCTTGCACTCAGATCAAGCTGCATGCAAGCTTACTCGTTGCCAGCAACATGAACCTGCAAGGCTATATGCAGGGTGAGCAAGGATGGTAACATCTAGCCCTAAATAAGTGTTGGTACAGGTTGAACCTTCCAGTCTGGAACCCTCAGGACCTGACCAGTCCTGAAGCAGGGAGTTTGGTGGACCAGGGAGGTCAGCCCCTCTGCTGACAGATTCTGGGCTCTCCTTGTCCCAATCCACTGGGCTTCCAGCTCTTCAGCCAGCCCCAGAGTTGCTGGGACTTTATAGTCCCAGGATAGCTAGGGCTTAGCTGCTCTGGGGTTGCTGGGGCTCTGCTGCCTGGGGCTGCCGGAGGTGAGCTGCCCCAGGTTCACTGGGGCTATCTGGCTCAACAAATGTCATGGCCCTGCTTGACCATGGGTGTGGCTGGACCAGAGAGTCCCAGACCAGAGAGGTTCACCTATAGTCAGATAGTATCACTGTTGGAGGACACATGAAACCATGTCAGTGAATGAGTTTCTGTGAAATGCGATACCTGCACATCTGGATACTCAAGTATCTGAATTATGAAGAGAC